TGGACGGATGAAGGTCCATAGGTTAGTAAAGTGGGAAAAAGCCCTCGAGGGCACAACCATGCACTTCAGGAAGGATAGTCGACGAGATCTATCTGTAGATGAAACTGCGAGATAGCAGAGATCGAACGATCCTGGTATATGTATGCAATCGGAGCTCAAGTTTGTAGATGCTCACAATCTGCAACGAGAGAGAAAGAGAACAACGAAACGAATAGCCAGTCTACTAGACAGTAGAGCTGGAAGGATATTGATTAAATTAGAGAAATTGTGCGTTCAAGTTCACACCTTTTCAACAAAATTCCGTCTGATGCAAAAGTATAGGGTTGGAGTTGTTGCAGACAGAGAGCACCTCCCCTCTCACATTTTCATTTACTGGACCCTCCACTATGACTGAAACATCACGTCCCATTCCCGAATAGAAAGCCTACCCATCATTCAGACCGTTAAGAGAGCGCGTCGAACTACATCTCGGGTACTTGCTCACAACTCCTCCCACCGGACCCTCGGTTCCAGAATGACCGCGACAGAAGTACTGTACCGTATCATTGTGTCAAGTAACTTGCATGCAGCAAATGTATGTAGTACCGATGTAAAGATGGCTTAATAGCATCGAATCTTGAGGAAAGATATCCAAATCAAAATTCTTTCACGAGCATCAATTATCACATCAGGCCTGTTTTCCCTCCTCATGTCGCTCCTGCCTCCACCCAAGAGAAACAACGTTGAAGATCTGGAAGGACTCCTGTAGATATCTGTCCTATAACATTGAATGTGGTTTGCTAACTGGTTGGCTTGTGGATCTCTTCAGGCAATGATAGTGCATTATCATCCAGTAGCTATACAGTTCACAACTTGCGTGTGCTTCTCTGTGGCTGTTCCTTGAAGTTTCGAAACAATCCAAGAAGCATGGTATTAGCTGGCTGCAAGGTTCAGTATTTTATCCTCTTTGTCCAACTTCGCTTGATGATGATGAGGATCGAATCCATATGCCAGTTAGCATTACGGTACTGGTATCATCTTCTTGCGCCTCCAATGGAGTCCGCAAAGGAACCAGAGCCGAGGCATAGTGGCAAAATGCAAACTGGCTTGGGTAGCTCAGACTTCAGCCGCTTTTACCGGTAGCCCCTTGCGTGCTCCCCAGTTCCCTTCCCGTTACCCCTAGTATCCCAACTCGTTCGCTGGATTGTTAATGCAAAGTTGACCTTCACAACACGCTCTTAAATCACCATGACGCCTCTATCCACTAGGTCACGATTGCCGATCCTTCGCTTCGCTTCCATTCCCTTCCAGTCCCGTCCAGCTTGAAAAGACACAAAACACACACAAAAGACACGAACGATGCGCCTCAACACCGCTCGGCAACCTTTTTGCCCACCAGTTAGTTATCCTCATTGAATACATTTGTACAGGTCCTGTCCGCGTTGCTCTGCTGTTATTCACATCACAGACAAGTCTCAGAAGTGGCAAAGCAGCTTCGTGCAATAGTAAAGGCGCCAAGCATTCTTTCGCAAGAGGTAATAAACAAGATCCAGTACGAAACGTTCCGATTCATTCCACACCTCAGCAGTGAATGATCAATCGAATCACATGTGGGGAGGCACCAATAAACGTACAGCTCCTGCTCCCGAGGATCCTCATATTATAACATCCAAATCGACCTTGTCAGTACAAGTCCGCAACGAAAACCACCACAACTTTCGCACAGCCACCATGGGAGCCACCGAGATTCAGCAACAACACATTGGCCGTGAAGTCCAGCAACCGCAACATGCCGACACCACAATGATGATGATGAAAGAACCCAGACGGTCGTCCACCACCGTCGCATTGTCCGAATCCGATTTCTCCTCCTCCTCATCGGCCGCCACCTTTCGCGGTTTCAAGCGAGTGCGATTCCACGAGGAGGAGCAAGCCGCCATACCATTGCCCCCCACCGTGGTCATCCACCAATACCCCCAAGCCGCCTACAATGCCGAGAATCCATCCAACTTGTTCTTGTCGACGCAACAGCAAGTCCAACAATCTCGTGAGATTCGAACTCACGCCGCTCAAACATGGAGTTGCTTGGGTGTGGCACAAGGGCTACGAGATATTCATCACATTCCCGTACAAGAACGGATCGATCGCATGGTCGCACTACCCCTCGAGACACGGGGATTGGAAAAGGAACTGTGTCCCCAATTCAAACAACGCTCGTTCCAACTCAAAGACCGTGTCGTGGAGACCGTCTTGGAATATCAAGAGCAGTTGCGAAAACAACAACAACAACACAATCAACAACTACACAACAAGAACCCCGACAAAATTATTGCCAAGGCCGCCATGGAAATGTCTCATGGCGCACGGTGCATGGCCCGGGTCGTGGCATTGGCGGATCAACACTATGTGCGCCATTGTATGGAGGAGGAGGAAGAACCACAACAACAATCACGACAACCATCGTTGGGCCCCAAGAGTCGTTCCGACTCTTGCCTCCAGGATGCGATGCGACAAGGGGACAATGACAACAACAACAGCAACAACAACGATGACAGCACTCGCCAAGAGGACGTGCGCCGTCGACCGGAGGGACAACATAGAAGGAAGAAATCTTCCTCTAGTAGGTCCTTGTCTCCACGGAGGATATCGCAAAGCGTCTTCAAACTAGGCCATTCCGTGAGCAAAAGGGTCCTCAAGGCAGGAAGTCTCCGCGGTTTTCCCCTGGAGTCAGCATCGAAACTTAGTATTCCGAAAGACTACGAGCTAGACAAAGAGGGCGCAGCTAGCCAGCTATAGCGCAAACAATAAAGCTAGATTGTTGTTTTATTCTAAAAAATGTGCTCTTTCAGCAACAATCTCAGGTTCAAACTTCCATGTAGTAACCCCCTCCAAGCGTTCAGCTCATCCGTCTCAGAATATCGTTCAGAGTTTGAAGTTTTGGGTTGGTTTCCAACCTAATCCAACGGAACGTCAATCATAGAAATCTTGGTTGGGCCTGGTCTGCATGCTGTGCGTCCTGCTCCTCAGGCTGTGACGGCAGCACAAAGCACTTGATGTGTGCTCTATCTCCAGCTTCATATATTATGCCAGAATCATAACTTTTGACATCAGGGTTTTTTAGCAATGCCTTTTCAGCTTGCTCAATGAGAGGTAAAATCCTGGCCATGTCGGTCGGGTCCGTCAGATGGCCTGCCCGGGGATCTAGGAGGGGGCGCTTGGTTTTCAATCCTGTGGACGGCCAACAATTTTCAAAGCCCACCGAAATCACAGTTTGATGGTCGGCAAAGGCATAGGCACAAGCCAACAAGGGTTCCAGGCGGCACCAAGCACGGGAATCGTATTCAGGATGATCGATACGAAGAAGCCGTTCACAGCAGGCAACCCACAAAGGCATGAGAGGGACACCTCGTTCCAAATGATCTTGGTCGAGACAAGAATAGTCAATCCAATACAGAATCACTGGTGTAAATTGATGCATATGTCGCACCCACTTAATTCTCCATTTGGTATATTCCGATATGGTTTTGGCCTTGTCATTCGAAGCAGTGTCCGGAAATCCAGTGGAAGCATCCATTGGGTCGCTGCGAGATTGGAGCCACTTATGCGATACCATGAATACTTCAACTATAGGAGGACCCATCTTTCGAATTGTCTCTGCAGCATCAACCGCGTATCCCTCTGAAAACCTTGGAATCCGTCCAAGACGCTCTATGGTATCTGCTGGCAGTAGTAGCATTCTAGGACCTCCCAAAGAATTGGCCAAATCCATCATCGGTGTCCGATTAGATGATATAGACATACGCCAAAAGTCGGAGTCTTCCAGAAGATGGACTACCTTCTCCCACATGAGTAGATGGTCTGAGGGTTCGTCAGTCATGCCGTTCCTTTTAGTAGTCAGTGAACTCATGCAACAACAAATAAAGAACAAAGTGGCTGTGATGCTGTGTGTGTGGTTGTCGGGTGAATGGAGTTGAGAGTATCCACGACTGGAAGTCACAACATTGTGGGAGAGCTGGTCGTACGTGGTACCAGTACCGGTACCAGATTGAACAAGCCACAGTCGCAGACCATAACCATAACCACAACAACAACAATAAAGGAGGCCTTATTTTAATCTTACTCAGCAAGAAGAAGAAGAAGAAGAAGAACAACAACAACAATAACAACCCCGGAATGAAGATTTGGTGGACAAAGTTACCGGGCTCCTGGAGGATCACTTTGAGAAACACCCTCCACAAAGGCCAACGCTCGATACCTACCATGCCTCCAGTGAACGTGTTGGGAGACCTGTCGCGTGCCGACGTCCACGTTCCTGTGGATCCGAAGGAGAAGGTCGATGTTAGCGGCTGGGTTGGACAAAGGTTTCCATGCTGCTTCTTCACGACTTGGAGAATGAACAGCACAAAGAGACGAAAGTCTATAATCACATTCGCACTCAAGAAAAGATTGGGACCACTGTTTTGTACGGAACCTCCGGTGCGGGCAAAACTCGAGCAGCCTTGGAGTATCTCAGTCACAACAAGGGATTCTACCTGTTGGGGGGCGACTTTACTCGGAATCCTGGTTCCCGAGACCTCGTGAGAATGCTGCGTGGAGTGACGGAGCAAATAAACACAACGGAGGGAGGTATCAACAACGTTGTGAATCTCAAGACGGTATTCTGGAGGTACAGGATTCTGTTGTACATCCGGTATGCAATACACAACCTTCTCGAGCAGAAATTTGGAGATGTAAGTCCAAAGGAATGGCTTTTGTATCAGCTCTTTCCGGAGGACTTCTTGGACGAGGATCTGTTTCGGGATGTGCTCCAGAGGTGTCTTAAAGATGAAGGATTGATCACGGAATCGACGGCCGAGGATGCCCGGGAAGCGATCCAAGGGTAATGGTCCGTTTTCATTGATGAATCGCAGCGTCGCCTGGAGAAACCAGGTTACTTCTTGAGCACAGACGGAAAACAAGCGCGTTCCAATTTCTCCGCAGTGATCAAGGCAGCTTATAAAGACGACGAACTCATTTCCAACTCAGAGTTGAAGTTCCCCGTGTTTTTGGGCACAGGGTTTTCCATTGATGAGTTAGAGGATGAAGGGCGTTCAGCATCGGCGAAACGACCTACGGCCATGGAGCAACGGGTTCACTTCTTTGGTGGTTTTGAGTTGCTAACTCCTGCCGATGTGGAAGAGCATCTGAACAAGTTCCTCGATTTGTCTCTTCTTCGTCAGGACGTCAAGCAACATGTAGCTCGTTGGCTTCGGGGACGACCGCGGTGGACCGCCACCTTTTTGGAAACTTATGTAAATCGGCTACCAAAGGGCGGAAGGGAAGGCAGAACTCGTGTCAGGGAGGATTTTTCCGCTGAGAATCTGAAAATGCTGGAAGCTTTAGATTGCTTCCTAGCTGTGATGACACTCGACTCCGTGGCAGCCGAGCGTCGAGCCAGTTGGAGTGCGGGCCCAGCTTCTGCTTACGCCTCTGTTGATCGGCTGATGACGTTGGACAATCACGAGGAAGCGCGGAAGGATTTCGAAACTGCAGTGTTTGTTTTGCTGTTGGCAAGAGGCATACTATATTCAGGCAAGAACCTTCGAAGACGCTGATCGAAGCAGCTGTTGCTGCTGTGGTGGTAAAGGACAGCGACGGACGATATGTTGAGGCTATCCTGGATGAACCCATCATTGTCCAGGCGGGCCTCCATCACTTCTGTCTGAGTAACTACCTTCGGGACAACCTACTCAAACAGGAAAATCAGGGGTTAGGGGAGGCTTTCATGCGAGAAAACCATTGACTGGATACGCGGAGCAACAAATAGCACAATTGAAGGCCAAGTTCCGCCGTTTTGTTATCCCGACACTAGCATGGGTCCCGACGTCATGTATAGCAAAGAAGACAGCTCGCGACTGGTTAGTGACGATTTGTATTGACGATTTGGGTCTGTTCGACGAAGACACAGCGTCCATTATCAGGCTGAGCAAAAAATTAAGGAGTAAATAACGGGTGGCGGCAATGTACCACTCTCCCAAACTAAGGACGCACCAAATGAGGAGCCAACCGTCGTAGAGGATCTCGGAATGTAGGACACCAGTAGCTTTGGCCAGCATAAGGCAAAGTTGCCCGAGCCCTTCGTGTACTGGTAGATACCGGTAAAGCTCGGAATGTAGGACACCAGTAGCTTTGGCCAGGACAAGGCAAAGTTGCCCGAGCCCTTCGTGTACTGGTCCGTACCGGTAAGTTCGGAATATAGGACACAGGTAGATTTAAATACAATCGATATATACGACATTGAACAAAGACTACACTATTATCATTTTAGTACGCATCCGACAAACAGGTCAATTAAGTCAGCGGGAGCTGCGATACCTCGGCAGAAAGACAGATAGAAGAAGGAGGATTATGTTTGGATTGCACCCATCTTTCAAGCTAGCCCTGACGACAACACCTGACTACGTCGTGTGTTGCCGCCCGGTATCATTCATTCCCTCATTGCAACCTTCTTTTTATTAAGCTAGCCCTGTTGCCGCCCGCTACTCTATAATTTACCAGCTGCCATTCCCTTATTGTAACTCTAACCTTTACAGCTCCTGCTGGCTTATTGTGCTGTTGTGATGATTGCACTAACCTTAAATATTAATGATTTATTCCTACCCCTAACTTGTATTGAACCATCAATGTTCAGTTTTGTTAGCTTATGACTATCTCTATCCTTATACTTTGGCTTCACCGGAATAGGAAATAGGAAATAGGAAATAGGATATAGGAAATAGGAAATAGGAAATAGGATATAGGAAATAGGAAATAGGAAATAGGATATAGGAAATAGGAAATAGGAAATAGGAAATAGCATTAAAGGGGTTGAGAACTCAGGCAGTTTACCTGCCGAGGTATTGACTTTTAAAAGCCAAGGAGGGATGGTCGCCGGTATCGGAACTATTACTGGCAAGGTATTCTTATACATCACAAATGCGTAGCAGTACCAGTTCTACGTAGATGCATACCGTACGGTCGTCAGCTGTAGCCAATATCAGCCCAAAAAGTCTCCTCCATCCTTCTCACAATCTCATCCAGAAGAAAGCCTCAGAATTCCAATCTCCTTCATCTGATCTAACTATTATTTGCCACCATGAAGTTTTCCTCAATCATTGCTGGATTTGTGGCTTTCATGTCCTTGGCTAAGGCTTCTGCCATTCAAGAACAAGAACGCAACAACAGCATTTTTGGCGCTCAGGTTTGTCACCCTTTTGTCATCAATCTAAATCTCATGTCATTCCCCTCACCTTGACCTGCAATGTGCCGAGTTTGAAACAGGTGGGCCGTCGTCGTCGTCTTGGTGAATCGATTTCTGAGACGGCTGCGGAGAAGGCATACGAACCCTGGGGGGAGACAAAAAGGATCATTGCGTCTCTGATGTTATGGCAGCTGGAGAATTGGAGCTTGCTGAGGCTGGAGCATTCTAGGAAGTGATTAGTGAAAGCTAGACAGAGGGTTCTTCGGATACTGTTGCCATCATCAAGAAGGGCACCATAGCATTGCAATGCGGGTGGTTTACAGTTAAGATTAAAAGGTGAATAACAGAATTGTGATTTAGTGATATTACTGGGCCAACTAATACATTACTATTACTAGCTGGCAAAACCTGCTCAATCAAATCGTTCAATCAGAACTACCGGTAGAGCCATGGTTGTACCGGCACATGAATAGCAAAGCTGACTTCTGGCAATTGCTGCAACCATGACAATGCACGCACGGTGGGTTTTGGAGAGCCCTCCTCATTTTGCTTTTCAAAGATTTATCCTGCAAAACATTCCAGTACAGTGTTCTTGGCACAAAAAGGTTGCATGCTCCCCTCTACCAGGACACCTTAAAGGCAGAAGCCTCTTGACCGTTCAAGTTCTAGCTATCTGCTGGTTACGCCAGTGCTGGAAGAAGAAACCCAGCAGCCAACTTTCATTCACTCAGCTGTCGGTACAACGGGATCATTGTTGTCATACTCCCGTCGCTTTTGAATTTGAAGGCTGATAACTTCCCCCAGAACGGCACACAATGTTGACACAATGGCACAACCAAAGCTCAGCTCTTCAGCCACCGCTAGCTTCTTGTGACTCAGGTGTTTCCATAGTGCGTACCCAATGAAAAAGTGCAGAAAGGAATCCAACCCATCGACAATACCTGCTCCCAGAAACAAGGCAGAGGATGTCTTGACGCGAAGAGCCCATTCTTCCTTCAATCGCTCAATATCTGATTTCAACAAGTACAAGGCAAAGATCCCACCAAGTACAGGGAGAGTGATCAAAAGGCCACGACCGAGACGCAATGCCAGCTTTTCCGATGACACACCAAAGATTCGTTCAATGGCTCGCCCAGCCCCCTGGCCACTAGTTTGCTCCAGTACTCGTTCAGCTGCTCTGTCTGCGGCCTGCTCCAGTAGTCTTTCGCCTGTTCTCTCCACAGCACGTTCTCCAATGTGTTCTGCTGCTCTCTCTCCAACGTGTTCAGCTGCTCTGTCTGTGGCCCGCTCCAGTAGTCTTTCGCCTGTTCTCTCCACAGCACGTTCTCCAATGTGTTCTGCTGCTCTCTCTCCAATGTGTTCTGCTGCTCTGTCTGCGGCCCGCTCCAGTAGTCTTTCGCCTGTTCTCTCCACAGCACGTTCTCCAATGTGTTCTGCTGCTCTCTCTCCAATGTGTTCTGCTGCTCTGTCTGCAGCCCGCTCCAGTAGTCTTTCGCCTGTTCTCTCCACGGCACGTTCTCCGATGTGTTCTCCTGCTCTTTCAGCTGCTCTGTCTGTGGCCCGCTCCAATAATCTTTCACCTGTCCTCTCGGCTGCCCTTTCTCCTACACGCTCTGTCGTTCTCTCTCCCACACGCTCAGCAGCTCGCTCCACTATTCGTTCCCCAGTCTCTTTCGGCTCCTTTGCCGGCAGTTGCTTCCAACAATCGTTCTCCCGTTCTCTCCAAAGCCCGTTCTCCCACATGATCTGCAGCTCGTTCCAGGACTCTCTCGCCCGTTCGTTCCACAGTTCGTTCTCCCACACTAGTCCGTCGTGCGATGATGAATTTCCACCACTGCCCTTGTTCGACGGCCCGTTCGACGGTTCGTTCGCCGGACGTCTTGGCGGCCTTTTCGACGAGTTTTTCCACGGTTCGTTCCACTCGGGAGGACGCTCGTTCGGCGAGTTTCGATTCCACCGTTTGTACTACAGCGTCCGTGGCCTTTTCCGATACGGCAATGGATAGTTTTTCCTTGGACCGATGATCGAGCTGATGCAGGGCTGGATTGTGATGGTGATGATCATTATGATCATCATGGTGAGGATTCTTGTCTTTTCTTTGGAAAAAGTTCCGCCAGGGTGCAAACCGTTTCTTCTTGTTTTCGAGTTCCACAGAGTCGCATGTATTGTTGTAACTACCACTACTATTATCATCGCCGACATCCACATGCGAGACGAGTGATTTTCTTGGGAATTCTGGTCTGGGTGAAAATACACCATGGGTTGGCTGCAGCTGAAATGCCGTGGCGAGGGTCAAGAGCTGTACCAACAGGATGATCTTCATGGTGGTGTACGGGAAAGAAGAAGAATGCATGAATTGTGGGGGCATTATTTATTGTATTCTTGAGTGTATTATTGTTGGAGTGGCGCTTTGCGGTCCCATTGGAAGCTTCTTCTGGCTACCTCTACCGGTGGTGTCAAGTGCAACAGCCAAAGCAACAGCCAGAGTTGTGAATGTGAGAAGAAGCTTCCGCGAACGTGCCATCAACTTTGAAAAGCCATCAGAGCGGTAATGCCGGACCGTGAAGGAAACCATTTCAAACACGGGAGCATTCGGTCATGTCACTGCCGCCAACCTCCAAAGATTTGCCTCGGCGACCTCCACACCTCCACAACCCAAACACCCCTACCATGGCAATGATTAGATTCATAGGCCTCCTTGATATAATATTGACATGAAAGGACCACAGAGGAGCATGAGAGCTGCTCGAAAGGATGCAATGAAAGATGCGGAGAGGAATCCAAAGATATCACTACGAAATGTCTCTTTTCTCGTGTTTCTTTGCCTTCCACATGTTTGCTTCCGTCCCGTAAAGGCAAACCCGACGACCAGATCATCTCCCACACCATTGCGACCTTTCTCTCCGTCATTGCTTGAGTCACTTCCCTTGGACCGACAGCCACAACTCACGAAATCTCCGATACTGCATATTCGAGGCGGCGCCAAACAGACGGCGAACCAACCAAAAGTGGAGACCAAGATACCCCCACTGTTGGGTTTCAGCAGTCCCTCCCCACCAGGGTGGATCCTGATTGCTTTATCTACCTGCTTATCCTATCAATACAGGGAGACAATCCCTCCACACCACCATGTGTTCTCGTTGTGCTATCCTCTTTATTTGGGACTCATCAACTGCATTCGCTTTCAACGCAATCTCCCTGCCATCTTGTCCAAAGATAACCGTGTCATTGTAGAGGCACCACTTCTGCGACAAGACCAAGGACCCTGGTTTGTCCGTTACATGCTCTTCTTTGCCACCATTGGCATGCTGGCGCCAGTCATCTTTTGTTTCGCGGCACCTTCCAATCTCGCCCGTCCCGCGGCACCGCATACCCTGTTAATTCTCGCACAAGTCGTTGTCGAAGACGTGTCTGGTCCGCTCCATACCATTCCCAAATTTCTCGTTCCAGTCGGCTTTAATGCCTTTCGCATGCCCGTATTGTGGCAATGGGTGCAACATTCCTGGATACTCGCGCAACCACAATTATCGCAAACGTCGTCACAAGTCTGGGCCAGGGTGGGATTGGCATTGGGTGTCATCAATTTAGTGGCGTGGGGGTACAATTTGAGCATCTTTTTGCTATTACGAGTGTTGCCGCAATATTGGGATACCGAAACATTTCCCATTGTGGAAGCTCAATGGAGAGGTCAAATTTGGCCTCGGCCGCGTCCATGAAGCTGCCCACCAAAACTAGATAGCTAGCTAGTAGACTACCGATACTACTTTATAACTAACGTACCGCTGAGCAAACTAAGAATGCACTTTCAAACGACAGCGTGAAAGGCGCAGCAAACTACTATACCTAGCTAGTGCACTGCTCGAGTCAAGTTATCGGAAAAAGTCAGCACTGTGCAGTTCCCTTGGATGAAAATATCAAAAACCAACTCTGCAAGGACCAGCTACATTCGCTCATTGGTTGCCACGACGACATTGAGACAGACTACGGTTGATAGCTACCGGTAGATGAACAGCGAATGATACTGTAATACATTCGACTTCACTTGCACCGGTCACAGCCATATTCTAGAAGGTTGAAGCTGTCTATCAACCAAGCCTAAGTTGCAGAAGCTGTCCACCAAACCAAGTAGCTAGTCTAGCTAGCCGTACCGCTAAACAAACGGAAAATGCACCTTCAAATGGCACAGGAGCCTTGGGTACTGTAGAACCACCTAATGCATGTTATCAGAGCAAGTCGGCACAGTTCCCTTGGAACAGAATACCAAAAAACTGTGCCTCTGGAGACCAACATACATTCATGGCTGCTACGCACGACGGCAAGGAGACGTACGGTTGCTAGCATGCTAGCAAGATGAACCGCGAATGAAACCACAAACTACTTCATCCCCCGGTCACCAATTCTACTACCGGTACATGTAGATCCAGAGTGGATTTAGTTTTATTAAAAAGCTAGCATTCAAAAAATTGTTGGATGGGTGGATGGATGGAAGCTGATGAACACACCCTGCCTGATGGGATGCATCCATTCCATTCCATTGTCTTCTTTCTCATCAAGATGATTGACTATGATTCCCGTCGATACCGCCACCGCACAAATGCCGGTTTGAATTTACTGGAAGGATTTTGGAGGTGTTTTTCGGAGGGATGAAAGGCCGATTCGCAAATCAAAAATTTGCCATCATTCGGTGCATCTTCCAAATAGCGTGTCGATTCAAATTGTCCTCCATCCACACCGGCTTTGTCGCGCAACCAGGACTTGTGGACCGTCCCATCGTCTTCCCACCATGCTTCCACTTTGACCAGTTCACTGTCGGGATCGAGAAATTCGGCATGGACGGGTTCAAATTCATGTGTCGTAGAATCAGCTCCCGAACTGACGAGCGATCGTTTCCATCCCCCGGCAGGACTTTGACCGACAAAATGGAGGACCCGTCCTTGATCTTCTTGTTGAATTTCTTCCCGAGTGGTGCTGGCAAAATTGAGACAGACTTGTCGAAACAGGAAGGATCGGCCACTTTTTTCCATATAGTCGCCGTACTGGTCTTTGAACGGAGAATCGACGACGGGAACCCACACACCCGAAAAATCCGTGTCGGGGTGGGCAATGGCCCAGCGTGGGCCGTCGGGTAATACTGATGCATCGGTAGTTGTACTAATGGTATCATTGTCAAGGCAGGAAGTAGAAACCGTGACTGTGGAAGAATCCTGCTTGTCTTGTTGTTGAAAGGCGGATTCCAGTTCAGTCTTTCGAAATGGCAACACGGATGTGACCAAAGAACGACTGCATTCCAAGAAGGAAGTTGCCATGTCCCATGCTTTCCCGCTCATTTGTCGCAATCGGCCGACATGATCGATGGAAGTTGCGTCATCCTCACGGTTCTCTCTCAACGAAGCACCAGCAGTGGTAATGGTGGTCCGTGGTGGAAATGTACTATGCACCATGCCGGTTGTCGTGTCGTCTCTCAGCAAAAGCGGCTCACCACCATGTGTCATCAAGGACGATCCAAAGGAATAATGTCGTCCTCGCTGGGAATGCAACTCTGGCGACACCATCAAACACAACACAGAAGCACATCGCAGCTTCAACACCACCCAGGTCGCTGGATGAAAGCCTCTCATATTGTCCTTCCAACCAAGCTCTATTCTGCTACGAATTTATAGCTGTTACTCTTGTTTCCACCAAATACCTTCCGATTGCCAAGCAAAATGGACCACCCATCCGTCAAATAAATACTGTAATGGCCAATGGCGGAACATGCAAAGTACCGGTAAATGGCCGTCACGGAAAACGCATGCGAAGGCTAAGGGACGGATGAGAATGCCATCTGAAAGAAGCCAGTAGTGCTGACTGAACCAAAGCTGAAATGGTTGTTGCGGGACTGTATGCATAGAGTAGGTAGCTTATCTATGGAAGCCGGGGCCAGGCTTTAATAAGCAAGGAAGGGTAGAAATTCAGGACTAGCTAGCTAGGTTCCGTGGGATCAGGGGCAAGAAATTGAGGGCCATTATGGGGGCCAAAGGGTTTGACTTTGCCGGATCCACCGAGACATAATTGGGTAGCTTTTCACAAGGGCAATAGAGATACGGGTTTGCATGAAGAACGTCATTTGAGGGGAGGAGAACTGAGTTTTGGTGGCAGCCGCACAAGCAAGGCGTTGTAAAAGAATATGGTTTGGGGGGCAAGCATGCCATCCACAGAGACAACAGAGGGATGGAAGGAGGCGCGATTGGACTCGCACAGGGCTTTATACTTGGCAATTTTCTCGTGTTGGGTTAAAACTTTGATCCGATTGTTGTCCTGCGATTGATCTTGTCGTCCATTGCAGTACGGGCAATCACCACATACACGTAGTCTTTGGGTGCTTATTTCATTGGTGGCGATGCACCTGATCTAATCAAGCTGCCAATGGGACATGGATGCGCAAAAGTGAGGAAGACATGTGCTTTGCAGAGCGCTACCGGTAGTAGGTCAAGTGATGGTTGCCAGAAAAGACCTCTGAGGAACATCTCGCTTCTTGGTTGAGAAACTGGCGCACGGAGATGGATTGGACGTGGTGGAATTTGATGAAATCGCTTGCAAGAGCTAGACGATGGTACGTATACCAATACAGGCACATGACATTGTATGATTGAAAAACTGTTTATTGAAAGGTACGCATTACTAGCTAGCTAGTATGCATATGTAGGTGGAGGACAGCAAATAGTTCGAACACTGCGATTATCCCTAAATCGAATCTTTTCAAGTGAACTAAGGCTTTTATAAGCACGTTTCACGAGTGACTCGTGAAACGTGCTCGTCGTCAGTCGACCTTGTCTTCCTCACACAAAACCAAAAAATGGTCCGTTCGATTTCGCTTTTTGCTCTCTCCCATCTTTCATCATCTTTATCTGTTACATGTACGCTGTACTTGTACATGTATCCATTGATTGGGTTCCTGTATCATCTACCTTCATTGTGTTGAGACGATTTTTAAAAATGCAGATGAAGATGAAACGAAGAAAGAATTCCGAGAGTCGATGCCTAATAGCCGCGGCAACATCCATCATGATCCTTGTTCTGTTGGTTGTACGCGAGACCTCGCTACTCTTCCTTTTTCAAGGGCAGGTCCAATCAATGCCAGTGACAAGGGTTTCGCAACAGGAAGATTCTGACAAAGAGGAGAGTCCAAAACATGGTGACGTGTTTGTTCCTGGATCCCTTTCGCTGTCTCGGCTCGAAACGTATCACAAGTGTTTTGTGGATCCTTGTCAGTACCGACATCACTATCGCAGAGAAATTACCTGTGATGTCTCCGACAAGTACAACCTTACCTACTACATGATCGGAAAGGCCGCGAGCTCTACATGTCGAAGTATCATGAACGAAACTTTTCAGGCAGATGATATGGGCTGTTTGCCCGAGGAAGAGACAGCTGTCAATGACAACATGTTCCGCTTCACCTTTGTGCGGGATCCATACTCGAGGTTTCTATCCGCTTATCGTCAAGCGTTTCTAATTTCGTTCAAGCGTGGACGGAAAACTCCAGTGCCAGAGAAATATTACCCATCCTTCAAGGAACCATTTGAAAACATGACCATTTCAGACTATTTGCACCTTTTTGAGAGAGCCAGAGGTCAACAAAAGATGAAATCCGCCATGCAAAACTTTATACTGGCATACGATGCCGAATTCCCATTCGACGGACACTTGAGACTGCAGGTTCCTCGCCTGGCTGCAATCGAAACTGGACGAACCCGACGGCTCGAGGGGATATTTGATACCAAAGACATCGATGAGCAATTTGCACAGATTGCTTCCATGGTCAACGCACCTCCTCCACCCAGATCTCTCAAAGTCCACGTCCGGGACAAGGAGGTCCAGATTGATGCCACAGACCTGACTCGAAGACTGAGACGAAAGATTTGCCAACTTTCTGCCATAGACTACTGTTGCTTGAACTATGAGCTGCCAGAAGCGTGCAAAGGCGCTGTTCAGTGTCAGTGGAAAGCCGCACCTGAGAATCCGGAGGAATTGCTGATTGAATCCTTATCCCAGTATCCTCCACCAAGGGACGAATCTTCCAAGGAGACTTGTCAAGCACAACGGAAAGAATTCAATCGCGCAGTTCGGAAATTTGGGAATACATACCGCATGGTAGTTGAGAGCTTGTAGGTGAGGGGGGCGAGAATCACTGCCGATGCCATTATGACAACCAATGTTGTTCGGGAGAGGAATTGAAGGAGACTTGGGTGTGATCGTTCTCTTCTCCCGGCGAAATACGTTCTCAGAATAAAGCAGTTTTGCTAAAGGACCATGTTGTCTTTGCTTAATTAAGCACTCTGGAGCTCCAATCCTCTCTGCCTGTTTCATATTCATAAAAGCAGCAACAATAATATTGTTGCACGATTCTGTTCCGGACTGAGCACATCAAGTGATAGCCTTTTTCATCGTCTCAACCCAGACAGGAGCAATCGCAGCCGCAAAGTTGTTCTGAACAGGTGAAGCGTAAAAGTTCAACATAGCAAAGCTCTTGCGGTAGGTTCCC